TCTCGACAAGAGAGGTGCGGGTCGCACGTTACCCAAATGTAACATACCACAGACCATGATTGTGACCGACAACGCGGTCGATTACGTGCACTGGGATGATCCGAACGAATTGGTGGATCGCTTTCGATTGCTGGACGCCTCCCGTCAGGCGGGAAACAACGCGCACAATAACGAGTTTCTCTCGATTATCGAGGAACTGCGCGAAGCCGGTCTGATTATAAATTGATCGTCGTTGTCACCGCTGTAACCAGTATTGCTCGTGCGATGCTACAGGAATGTCTATCAACAAATTCGGACTACAGCTAGGAGGAGGAAGCGACAGGGTGACGAGACGTGGATCGTGGAGCGGCGGAGTCTCGAAGAATTACGTGCGCGAGCATTGTCTCTGCAAGGATGGTGAGGTTTTCAACGCCAAGTCACGCGTAATCAGACATCTCGCCGACCCTAAAGCGGACACCGACGCCGTCAACAAGCTGCATCTGGATCATCACTTACAGCTTATGAGCGATTGTGCGAATCGAGATCGTATGCTCCATGAAAATTTTAAGCGAGAAGTACTTTCGCGACTCGAAGATTCGGAGAATACCGAGCGGACTTGGGAGAGGGACCACGACGATTACATCGAGACCAGATACGTGACGTTGGAACGACAGATTCACGATCTGAGAGGTCTCCTCGACGAGAGTGTAGCGCGACTCGATGGAAAACTCGTCGATCGCGAGCGAGAGACGAAGAGTCTTGTCGAGCGAGAGATTCTCAATCTTCGTAGAGCTATGAGAAAAAATTTCATTAAATACTACGATGGGGCGATGAAGAAGAAGCAAAACGAATCGCAATGAGCAAGAAGGAAGCGGTGAGCCTGGAGAGGAAATCGCTCGTGGACGAGCTCCACGCACCGGCGAGAAGAAACTTTACGCGTCGGCCAGTCGTCGTGAAAGGATACGATGATTTGTGGCAGGCTGACATTGTCGAGATGAGACCGTACTCGCGATCCAACGGCGGCTACAACTACATTCTAACCGTTATCGATGTGTTGAGCAAGTGCGCGTGGGCCGTGCCCTTAAAGACCAAAGGTGGAATCAAAACGTCCAAAGCATTTTCCGCGATATTTAGGGAGAGAATTCCGAAAAATTCGCAGACCGACCGTGGAAAAGAATTTTACAACAGAGATTTCCAAAATCTTGTCAAGAAACACGGCATCAATCATTATTCGACATACTCGGTCATGAAGGCTTCGGTGGTGGAACGATTGAATCGCACGTTAAAGAACGAAATGTGGAAGTTTTTCACGCTCACGGGATCGTACAAGTGGATCGACGATTTACCGCGATTGGTCTCGGAATACAACGGTCGTAAACATCGTACGATCAATATGCGCCCGATCGATGTCACTCCCGAGATCGCAAAGGGACTCTTGAGCACCGTGTACAGTAATATAAAAATTGCCGCGCCGAAATTCAGGGTGGGTGATCCGGTGCGCGTGAGCAAATTCAAAACTGTATTCGAGAAAGGATACACGCCGAATTGGTCGACGGAGGTGTTTAAGATCGCCACGGTGCAACGTACCAATCCTGTGACGTATCTGATTAAAGATTATCGCGGAGATCCGGTCGCGGGAGGCTTTTACGAGTACAAATTGCTCAAGACCGCTCAACCCGACGTTTATCTCGTGGAGAAGGTGTTGCGCCGAAAGGACGATAAGGTGTTTGTAAAGTGGTTGGGATTCGACAATTCGCATAATTCTTGGATAAATAAAGACGATGTATTGTAATAAACTATGTATATTTTACATTGTATTATAATAAACTATTATACATATATATACAATGATGTTCTTTATTACTACACATGTTACAATATATACATTTAAAACTAATAATGACAATAATACATAAAATATTAAACTATATAAATTACTAAGCATTATTTACAATTGTATCTTGTAATGTCCCCATGGTAGAGTGTCGGTGGAACCGGATACGACGTGCCGCTTATCATCGTACGGACTGAGCGCGAGCTTCGACTCCGACACGGTGTACACCTCGTGCATCTTTGAGCGGATGCACGATTGACGCCGCGTTAGCTCGATTTCGTCGTTGAGACACCGAGTGTAATCGTTGAACGTTATCGTTCTAGCGACTACATTTTTCTTTACGCCTTTAACCTTTTTGGTATCTTTTTGTCCGGTGACTCTCAACGCGTACATCTTCGCTCTCAGTCCGACAAATTCCGTCATGATCGCGCCGTTATTCTCATCTTTCATCAGACCGGGTACTTTCTTGTTGGCGCGCGGTATACCGTAAACGTTGTCCTCGGAGTAGTCGCTCGTGTCGAATTTGGATATATCGCGTTTCATATCGTGATATACGTCCTCGCATTGTAGAAAGTATATCAGACTATCGGTATCGGTATACATAATTTTGCAATTGTCGCGGTAGAGAGGCGCCATGTACTCGTAGTGAAACTCGTACAAGCAGGTCTTGGATATGTCGAGGATACACATACCCACGTAGATTGGCTTGTCAAATTTCACTTCGAGTTTTCGCAACTCTACGGCGACTAGATTCTCCGAGAACACGCTTCGACTATGGAAATTCGGTTTCGCGATCAAAGCCTCCGCTCCGTACCGACCCTCCCACTGTGTAACGAGCCGTACATCCGTGTGATTTCGCACATTCTCCATGGTTTTACCGAAAACCGCGTTGTTCATTAATTTGTATAAATTTTTCTCGAATTCGTTTGTCGCCCGTGTCCGAAATTGTGTATTTAATTCTATGTATCTGCGGAGCCATGGAGATTGCGCGAATTGCAATATGCGGTGAATCTTTGCAATTCGCAGGCCATGTCGCACGCATTGCTGCAGATTACGGTAGTGGATGATATAACGCTGCTTATCGTACAGCGTTGCGAGTAACTTGAGCTCCCGCTTGCCGGGCGGCTTATCGCGCGTCGGGCAGAACGGCAGGTCGGAGTGCGCATCGTGAAGATTTACCGGATACTCGAGATCGACTTCCAGCACATAACCGGTAGCCGAATCGGATGCAACGGACATTACGTCAAAGTTTTCGACATTGTCAACCCATCGAAATTTGGCGTAGGGCAGCGGTTGACACATTGCCCACCCGTACAAGTTGTTTACATCAAAGTACATTAAGTACGATGACGGTTTCGATGGATCGTAGGATGGCATGTATTTGTTGTTGGCGGCGGCGTATCGGTTGGAGCATTGACTGAGACCACCGCGTATACCGCGCTCGACAAACAGCACCATATCGATGTCCGTGAGCAACTCGAATTTTACGCGCGTGTACTTCATCATAGCGTCCCACGTGTATCCCGGTAAAGTGTAATAATGAGCGGGATCTAAACCGTAACTTTTAATACACATGTTTCGAAAATTTTCAAAAATATCCGCCAACAAAAGAACGTCTGTTTTCAAATACAAATCGCTGTATTGACCTAGATCTTCGATTGAAAAGGTTTGCCAGACGTTTGTCGCGTGCGCGTAATCGCTCTCGGATACTGTTTCTCCGGTGAGCGAACTGTAAAACGATTCGCGCGATGGTAGGCTTGTGTCCCGGAGCTTGTCGACGCTGTCGATGTACTCGTAGGGAAACACGCCTTTCCGAGTAAGCAAATTGAAATGTTCCGCGGATAAATGATTGAATTCCGATCGTGAAATTTTTAATTCATCTATAGTTAAATATGATGCCAATTTGTCGAGACTTGTACTGAGAAATCTGAATGAATCGATGAATCGTAATTTTATACACAATTTTGATTTTTGATCCTTGGTATCTTTAACGATTTTTGTGAATGAAATGTAACGTTCTTTCGTCAGCGGTAACAATTCGACGCTGCCTTCGAAAGCATTGGCAACGTTTTTGATTATAAAATGCGCGTCGTAACCGGATAAATTGTGAAATATCACCGGGATAACGTGGGAGTCTTTGTAATTTAAATTGCACGATGAGTGCGCGGCACCGCGGTAACGCCCGGTAAGATGACAATGATCGCGCACCCGCGTATCATCCGGTGTAAACGGTTTCTCGCACACGTGACACGTCGCGGTGCTACGGAATTTTTCCGATTCCTCCGGCGTAAGATCCGCCATGGGGACGATATTGGTGAGGATCGTTTTCACACGGCGCGCCAAATCGTGAAGTTTATTGACGAGCCACGCCACGCAATCCTCACCGCGATACGACTTATACCCGGATAAAGAATTATCGTACGTGCAACTTACATAATATCCTACGCTAAACACATTGTGATGCTGATAGGCGTATGTGGTGCCGTCTTGTCCATCCTTCTTCTCGAGCGTACATTCGAGATCGGCGTATACAACAAACGGGAGCCGCTCCTTCCGGTTGTAGTTGCGGAACGTCAGCCACTTGTTGTCCTCGCTGGGGAGAACGACGGCGCAGTCGTTCATCTTGCCGCAGTCGACGCTGTGCGCCGATAATTTCTCAATTGTCCGAAAATAGTGTAAACACCTGTAATAATTTGTATGATTAATAAAGTTTTGAATTATTCTATAAATGTGTTTTTACTTACCGATCGCAAATGTATTTTTTACAATTTTCTTTGCTCAGTTGCGAGCTCACTAGCCGAGACAGATCCTTAATGCACACAAAATGTGCATCGTTGTTTCCGTGCACGTACAACAAATTGACGTGCTTCTCCATCTTGTCGTTGGCGAGGCGCAAAGGGATGATTTTGGAGTCTTCCATAGTGAAAACGTTGACGGAGATGGTGTTCAGTTTCTCGAATTTTGATATTTGCGGAAGCGTCATGGGGAATTCTATGCCGCACAGGTTGAACATCGTCGAGTAATGTGGATACTGTGATACTATGTCTGATTTTTTTTTCACAGGATACAAGGCTGCTACCACCGCCCACGCAAAGCACGCATTATCGTTTGATTTCACATTGACCACCGCCCTTTTTAACATAATTTTCCGCGGTAACTCGATGTGGCATCCCGCGCGTAGAGGATTGAATTTGTTGACGTTGATGGTGAGGTCCAAGATACGTGATAACGTCCATCCACTATCGCGTTCCTGAAACTCCTCCAGAGACGTCAGGATGGTGTCAACCACATGCTTCGTATACCACTGGTTTAGATCAGATGTTGGATATATCTCTTGATTCTTCGTGGCGATGGTCTTCACGGCAGTCTTGTCATCCGCGATAAATTCCCCGTTGAACGCGGCATTGATTTTAACGTTCCCATGCTCCGCCATGACGCTCTGGACCCGCTCAATAACCGTATTTTTTATATTTTCCAAAAATTCACGAGGATCGATGTATTCGTGATTGACAACCGCACCCGTCAGCACACGGTTCCTAAACGCCGTCTCGATCTCCTTCCACGTGTAGCCCTTCTTCTCGTATCCGCCGTATCCGGCGCCGACGGGCACAAAACGCTCGTACAGGGTGTTCCTCACACCCTCCAGACGCACAATTTGCGCCACCAGAGAGTTGACTACTCCGGTTCGTTGCTTCTTGCGACATTTTTCCCTCAATATATTGAGGTACTCGTCGCACTCGTAGTCCCATGGGAGGAACTCTCCCAACGTTTTAATGTTTGCAGCTCGAACGGTGAGATCACGCTCCATCTCCATTTTGAATAACTGTGACAATTTGATTTTTCGCGAGCTTTTTATATCCGCTTGTTGCACACGACACTAATTAAAAATAGCGATGATGTCACACAAAATTGAAATCTGGCAACAATGGCGCCTAAAATGCTGACGTGACTGCCTGTTGCTATGGGCTTTTGCAGACGGCACTAATTAAAAATAGCCATGATGTCACACAAATTGAAATCTGGCAACATGGCGCTGCCTAAAATTTGTATAAACATTCCTTATCACCCCCTCCATTGTCTGTTCTAAAAATAGTGATGATGTAATTTAAACAGGCGCTCTACTTTGATGCGTAGAAAAAACCTGCACGTGCCTGCAAAGGATATATGGTAAACAATTCTCGGAACTATGAATCATTTTTGTATAAACCATCCTTATCTTTTCCAGGAATCCTTATCTCTCAATGACTCATGTTTATATAAACAATCCTTATCTTATCTTTTCCAGGAATCCTTATCTCTTCCGGGAATTGATGTAATCCAATACCTTTCCCTCTCCCCCATACCTCCCTCGTCACCCCCTCTACTCCAAAATTACCCCCTCTCCTCCAAAACGATGACGTCATTACCCCCTCCACTGTAACCTGATACCCTTCTTCCCCTCTTCACCCGCACCCCCCTCATTGCCCCATGGGTTAGAACCCGTGTTGCTATACTACTATTAAAAGCCAGGGTTGGGCGTTCACATGTAAACTATAAGATAAAAAATACTAAGATGAAAAAATACTCGCATATTAAACATGAATGCAAGCTAGACAGTAAAAACAATCTTTTCATCTATAATTTGAGAGGACTATAGTCATGAACCGCCGCAAGCAAGTGTGCAAATTGTGCACCGCACAAAGTTTCATTTAACAATTAAAATTTAATTCTATATTCTTAACACTACACATACATAAAATTTTGTGTGCTTGTTCTGGAAGACTTTAATTTCTTCTAAAACAAATATTGTATATCAATTGAAAATAACCGTGTCACAAAACTTGAAACTATAGTGGTCGGATCGAATACTTGTTTATTTTTTTAAATATGACTAAAAATTGCCCTTCTTAAAAATTGTGTATTTACCAATCCTTTATAAATCAGATATTGTCAAAAATTATTTTAAAAAATATCTTATTTATAAAAAAATTGATAAATAAAAATATTAAGAGAAGAGATAAAAATCCTCCTTTGCACAAAGGTGCCTTATGGTATATATATATATATATATATATATATATATGTATATCATCCAGTGCTGCAAGATCGAGCATCCTGCAACAGAGCAACATGAGAGGAACGGCCTCCATCATGCGGGCACTACACAAGCGAGAACCGTACGTCACGCATCCGAGTGCGCACGCGTCTGTGTGCGCACGCGTTGTGTGCGTAACATACTATTTTTGTGTCACTTCCTCAGTCTGCGACAAATGCTACGTACGATAAATGCTAAGAAGTCAAGCGTTTTTAATCGAGTAAGGCGAGTTGCTTGAATATTAGAGATTCCATGTTCAAAACCTACACCTTGCTAATTTTTTTTCTGCATTTTTTTCTAACGCATAATCTAATGCAGAATCAAATAAATAATTAAATAATTTTTTTCGCTAAAAAATATTTTATATTTATTAAAAATATTTGTATATAATAAATGTTAAATTGAGTTTATAAAGTGTTAAGAGAATTGTGCAAGCACAAATTGCTTAGTTATGAACGAGGAAAACGATGTAAGTGTTAATATTTATATACATTTAGATTTAATAATACTAAAATTTACACTTGATTTTGTTATAATATAGAAATTTAAAAAACTATGTTGCCTGATAAATTTTGATAAATTTTCAGATGATAGTTATCGTTTGACGAATGCTGGCTATGATTATTTAGCCTTAAAAGTTTTAACACAGAGAGGAGTAATTTCTTATTTTGGTAACCAAATTGATGTTGGCAAGGAATCTAATATTTACGTTGTTGCTAATGACAAAAAGACTCCTTTTTGTCTAAAATTACACAGATTAGGTAGAGAGAACGTGCTTTCGAAATATTAAGAACAAAAGAGAATATCATCAGCATAGACATTCTGCCTCTTGGTTGTATCTATCAAGAATATCAATAACTAGAGAATTTGCATATATGACAGCACTTTTGGATAGAGATTTTTCTGTGCCAAAACCAATTGACTTCAACAGGCATTGTGTTATTATGGAGCTGGTTGAAGATGGACTTTTGTACGTTTGTGAATAATATTCTCTGGATAATAGTTTTGTTATATATATTATTTTAATTACATCTTATTTACAGGTGTAATGTAAATGAAGTAAGCAATGTAGAAGCATTATATGACGAGCTCATGGATTTGATTGTCAAACTGGCAAATCATGGTGTTATACATGGAGATTTCAATGAATTTAACATAACGATCAAAGATGATAGTAAACCTGTCATCATTGATTTTCCACAAATGGTTTCTACGGAACATGAAAATGCGGAAGCATATTTTTAAAGGGATGTGAATTGCATTCGTGATTTCTTTAAGAGACGTTTTGGGTATGAAAGTGAACTGTATCCAATTTTTCAAGATATATCGTAAGTACTATAAAAATATGCGTTCTTAATTTCTATTATTATAAATGAATTATTATATGTTTGTTAATTCAATAAATCGATTATTTTATTTCTTTTAGACGAGAGGATTGCATAGATGTTGAAGTCAGAGCTAGTGGCTTAACAAAACAAATGAAAAAAGATCTGTTTAAAGGAATGGGTATCGATGATGATGAAGAAAAAGAAAAGGAAGAAAAGAAAAAGAATGAGGAAAAGGCTCGCAAGAACCATAAAGATTTAGAAGAAGAAATAAGTGATTTACAACTTTAAGTTGAAAATTCTGTAAGAGAAGTATTTGATGTTCCACAGAAAGAAACAACTTTTGAATAATTATAATGAATGTTTGGAACAAACGGCAGCGCTATGTTTTAAGGATCAAAATAATACAGAAAGTAAGTGTGATTCAAATAATGGAAATATATCGGCCGATAAAGAAAACAATGAATATATATCGTGCGATTTATCATCAAATGCAGAAAACGAAATGACACATATTAATGATTATGATGATACGAGGAGTATATGGAGTGTCACAACGGCTTCTGCAATCGCGCCGGATGTAATAAAAAAGAGGACAAAATTAATGCTTGACAAACGCGAAAAGAAGAACTGAACAAGAATACTCATCAAAGGAGAAGCGAGTGCAGTGACGAGGCAACGTAGAGATAACAGAGCTACGATTAAAGAGTACGAATCGTCGGGAATTTGGAGTGGTTTGGATTGAAGCACGTATGCACTAATTATTTTGTAAATTATTTAGTATGTACGTAATACAAAAACAATTGTAATTAGCCAAATATTTTTATTAATAGTTTGATACTTGTATATGTGTTAAAAATACAAATGTTTTTCCAACACATTTCTATAGTTTTTATCTCATACGTCGTGATGTCATATCTAAGTTACAATAACAAGTAGTTTTGAATGCTGTGTTTAATTTTGGAACTCTATAAAAATTCGTAGATAAGATAATAAACGTATTAAAGAGAGATCAAGGCATTAATCTTTGAAGGCCAACTATTTTTTTTATCTCGAAAAAAGATAAAAAATAGTTCTACTTGGTCCTACTTCATGAACTAAATATCTGATTTGTTTCAATTGCACATAATTTTGTAATACTTGTATATGATATAATTAGAAAATATATATCAAATTATCATATAAAATATATTTTAAATAATATTTATTTTTATTTATTTATATGCAAACTTAATAACTTCATAAATTAAACATTCATATATGAAACTCATACATTATTAATAAATAGTTTTAGTATAATATTCAATATAATTGAATGCTAATCTCCACCATACAAAACACTTCACATCCAAAATTACAAAATTTTTAAATTCTAAACAAATACTAGATTTCTCCAATATAATTTTCAATATAATTTTCCAATAGATTTTTCCCAAAAATTTTCCTTCTATTTTTCGCAGGTGTGATAAAATCTCTTATTTTCAAGTGTCAAAATAATCATCTTGAAAAATATTCTTATTAAATTACACGCTAGAATAATGTAATCTGGAAAAAAGATTAGATATTATTTATTAGTCCAAGAAAATCCAGTCTTTCAAGTATGTAAATGTGAAAGGGAGACAACAATCAAGAGAATCCTCATTTCATTTAATCTTATCTATCCCATATTACGTCGCGTTAGCGATCGTGAAATATATGACTGCGGACATAGAACCAAACGATAGCGGGTAAAGAAAGTAAGATTGCATGTACAATGTAGATCGATTTACTAGTTCCGACCAAATACACCGTATTTCAGGGATGACATTACGTGACGATTGATAGTGCAGTTGCAAAATATGGACAAATCGGACTGTTTGATAAATCCGCACTCATCGAGAGACGTTCGCTACCACTGGTAATAGAAAAGACGGCCCAGAGGAGCAATAAAGCCATTGTGGTGATAGCGTGAAGCATATACATGTAACTGCGGCGCATGTATATATAGCAGCGAGTTCTCACTCGAGCACTAGTTCTCTTCTTGTTTCGCCCGTTTGCTTATTAAAATATTTGGAAGCACGGTTCTTCGACGCAAACGGATCATTATTGGAACGTTTTTCAAATCCGGTGAAAAATGGCTAAGGACAATCTCACCGCTATACTATACGGCATCAACGATTTACGTCTGGTTAGTATGAAAGCATGATGAACTTGTACGGCTGCGCTTGCTCATGCTCGAATCGAACGTATCACTTTTATGATCATCTTGATCAAAAATGTCGTTGAACTCATTTTTAATTGAAGCTAATAAGCAATGAGCCAATTGCTATCAGAATGTGTTAATAAATCTCTCTCATACATGTTTTTTCAATAGCTTGACAGTATGAAAAATTTATAGATTTTAGAAAAATACACTTTATATTTTTATTATAATTTTCTTTTTTTTTCTTGTAATATAGTACTTACAAATATTTACAAAGCTCAAATATTAATTTTTTTTAAATACAAAAAGTTTAAAATAGAAATATTGCAGTTAAAAGAACAAATATTATGTTAATTTTTTTATAGAAAGTAGAAATGTGAAAGTAGTCTAATGTTTTATTTGATTATTTGTCACAACAATAATGAGAGAAATAATATTCGTGACAGTTTAATTGCATATATAAAATTTAACGTTGCAGCTAATGTTAAATTTTATATATGCAATCGATTTTGTATATTTATCCTTTGATCCGCTATGTCGTAAATATTGATATTAACGCTTTACTTGTTTAATTGATTACGTATATTTGGATTTATAAATTAACGGTTTTTATGTTAATATGTTTGCAGAAGATTATTTTACATATTATTTGTGTTAAATCATTTAAGTATATTACTTTATTATATAATTAGCTCGACATGTTTTCGTATCATAGCGTGAGCAACAGTGTTTTGTACAATTTTATTTATTCAAAAGAACATAAATTTTGGAAATTAGATTGTTTTTTAGATTAATTTGTATTTTTATAAAATAAATTTATATTATTTATTTATTCTTTCAATATACCTATTTTTTGCAGAAAAGTAATATAACGAAGATAAATACGCTTTTACGTAAAAAACACAGAATTTGAAAAATTAGAAATTAATATATTAATTATAATAACACATTTGTATCATTTGTTTTTAATTTAAAAAAATAAAGAATTTATAAGTTACAAAATAAATTTTTTCTTCTTGCATTATCTATTTTTTAGATTTATATAACATAAAAATTTCTACTTGTTTTCTTTAAAAAAAAACAAAAATTATTTTTATCTTTTAAAATATAATGCATGAATACAAGATAGTAAAATCGAATATCATGTTGAGAGCGTAATTTGCATAGCTTTTTGTAATGTAAATGTGTGTTCTAATCAATTAAATGCGTATCATTTTTCAGGAGAACACTAACATCGAGGAACCAGGAGACGATGGTAAGAAGCGTTTATCTCTACCTTAAAAAAAGATTTTCTTCCTTAAAAGAAGTTGATATTGATAACATCGTATCTAAAAATAAATCATATACGAAATCAATGCGAAAGAAAATCATTTTGTTCAGACATTGCATAACACCTTGGTATGAAATATAAATCAATTTACATTGAGTGGTATTAATATGCGCGATGACGCACTCTTTAGAATAATATGTAATGCTGTTCCAGATAGGCACGTGGCTTGTGCAGTATTAAGTGAACAAAATTAATTTTTATTCATTGAAATCAAAGTTCTATTCATATTTAGATTATTAACTTGTAGGAAAGATTTTCTTTTTTTTCATCTTAACTATTAACTATTTATTTATGAATAAAGTTTAAATGAAGAAAGTTGAAAAAAATATATATAAAAAATGCGAGAAAAAGATAATAAATTATCTACTCTAAAAGAAGAATTAATTAATATTTTTCTTTTACAGAAGTGCTTCTGGAAATGGGATGCGTAGGAATCTGCGGATCAGATGTCCATTATCTCGTAAATGGTAGGATCGGCGACTTTATAGTGAAGAAACCCATGATCATTGGTCATGAGTCTTCCGGTACTGTCGCTAAACTTGGGAAAAATGTTAAGAATTTGGAGGTACGAATATCGCTTATGTTATGCATTTATGTATTTATTTATAATTAGTTTTTTTTACTACACTGTGATATAGCTAATATTAAAGAATTTAATATAATTAAGAAAAGATATATATATATATAATATATGATACATATTCTTTGTACAGGTCGGTGATCGCGTTGCCATCGAACCCGGTGTTCCCTGCAGGACTTGCACGTTTTGTAAAGAGGGACGTTACAACTTGTGCAAGGATGTAGTGTTTTGTGCTACTCCACCTTCGCATGGCAGCCTAAGACGTTATTACAAACACGCAGCTGATTTTTGCTTTAAGTGTGTTTAATTAATTATATATTTTGTTTATATACATTTGCATTATAAAACTATCAAGATTTGCATAACTCTTAGTGCATAAGTAGTAATGTAATGCAATAGGATAGTTCTATTTAAATATAATGTGATAATTTTATAGGAAACAATTTTTAAAATGTATTACAAATTAAAAAATAATAACTTTTGTATTTATTTTTTGCAACAGGTTACCTGATCACGTAAGCTTAGAGGAAGGAGCACTTTTAGAGCCGTTGTCAGTAGGAGTGCATGCTTGCAAACGAGGCGAAATCGGAATTGATTCTAAAGTATTAATTCTGGGGGCTGGTCCCATCGGTCTAGTGACGTTGTTAGTAGTCAAAGCCATGGGCGCAAACAAAGTGGTTATCACGGGTATGTGTTAAGGGTAAAACGGAAAAAAACAAAAGAGAAAAATGTTCTACTCAAGCCTGAGTTTGAACGATTGTTTATCTCTATTTAGCCAATTACGATTTTTCTTTCCAGTAGTCACTGCAAACAATTGAAAAACGTTAAATAACGTGTTGATTAATTTTTATTTATTTTTGATAGAAAATTTAAAAAAGTGTCTTATCGTTAATTTTTTATATAGTAAAATCTAATCTAAAATCTAATAAAAACTAATCGCAGCAGCACGTTGTGTTTCTGAATATATCTCCACATTTGATTAAATGTTATATTTTTATGTGTGTGCCATATTTGTGTCTGCAGTATTTCTGATATCAGTTTTCTATCGGTTGCAAAATAAAAAAAGCTGATATAGAGCAATTATCACCAGTAAGAAAAATCCTAAAGTGATTGCGTTTGTAGTATTGCGATAATGAAATTATACATGGAATTTTACATGGAATACATCGCAATCTGTTCACGAATGATAACTAGTTATCAAGTTACATAATTACCGCGTAAGAGAAAAATATTTACATTACGCATTCGAGATATGGAGACTATATTGCAATCGATCGAGATGCATTTTGCGTGACAGATGCTACTTGTGGAATGAGAATATGCATTGTCGAAATCACGCATTCACAATTTGTTGCTTGTTGCGCAGTAGATGTTTTTTTATTGCACATTTGAATTATTACACGTAAAGCATAGAGTGCTATTTTTTTTTAATATATATGCGTTTCCGTCTTTTGTAGATAACACAATATGTTTTACAAGTAACACAAATCTTTCGACGATTCTGAATGTAAACCGATAGAACCTGTAAAAGAGATGTAAGTAGGCATGATTTATGTTTATAGATATTGTAGAAAGTAGACTGAAAATGGCAAAGAAACTCGGTGCTGATGATACGTATCTGGTACAAAAGGATAGATCGGAGAAGGATACAATAGCTGATATTCACGCAATTTTTGGGGATGAACCAAACAGGACAATAGATGCTTCTGGTGCACAAGCATCGATTCGTCTGGCAATTCTTGTGAGTTTCAAAATATCTATGTGATAACATTAAACACACACACACACACACACAACATACACACACGCGCGCGCGCGCGTATTTCTTTTATATATATCTATATTTGTATAATTATATCATAAATAATCTGTATTTATATATGTATATTATAATTTATATCGTATGTTGTCAGGCAACCAAATCTGGTGGAGTCGTGGTATTGGTGGGAAACACTGCTCCAGAAGTACAAATTCCACTAATTAACGCACTAATTAGGGAAGTTGATATCAGAGGTATCTTCCGATATGTAAATGAGTAAGTTTTAATTAATTAATAGGACTATAGATTATAAGTTCAATAGAAAAAATATAAATAATATTGAAGTCTTATGCCAAATAACATAGAAAGAAAATTTCAATTCTTCAAACTAATTATTATAGGAAATAATCACATCTCTAAGAAAATTATTATTAAAAGTTGTATAGTTTATATCTATAATTTAATCTATTCTTCAAATTTAATGAAGATATATTAGTGTATTATACATTACTACATTTCTACTACATTTAATAAAAATGTATTCTTCGCATGATAATTTAATATCTTTTCAATTTGCAGCTATGACGATGCATTGAATCTTGTTGCATCTGGCAAGATAGATGTGAAGCCATTGATCACTCATAACTACAAAATAGAGGAATCCAAGGAGGCCTTTGAGACCAGCAGAACTGGAGCAGGTGGAGCTATTAAAGTTATGATTCACTGTAAATAATAAGTGAATTATAGAAGGATTCTGAGTGTCAGAATGTCAAATGCAATCATAATTTTCTGCAAAAAACACTATGTGATAAAATTATAGATTGTAATATGTTAAACTACATAATGTTATTTGAAATTTTTGTGTAGACAGTAAGCTTTAACTTGCTTGTTTACATATTATCTCGTATCACAATATGAAATGTTAATCTATATGTGATGCATATTTTATGTCTTTTTGATAAAAATTACAATTTGCTTGAATACCATGATTTTTTAATATCATTGTACAGACATTGTATAAATATGTATAATACGTTATATTATAGAATCAATGGCTTAGAAGAATGGTGATATATTCGTAACAATTGCTAAATTTTAATGACAATAATAATGCTCATGTTTGTTTTCTTAGAATAAGAAATATATATTTTACATATACGAACAATAAAGTTTTATTCTGGATAAATCTTTGCACAAAACTGATATTTACTAATTATTATCATTTTCTTTGCCTCTTCGAGATATTTTAAACAAATTGGGATATTTTTTATGTACTTAGAGTATTTTTTTTACCATTGTAAGTTTATGCCCTGATGGAAATAATTTGTTGAAAGTACTATGGAATCGATAAAAAGTAAAATGAAAGTTTTTTAAAAATTACTGAATATATTTCAAAATGAATCATAATTTTTCGTATGAAAATTTAATGTGATGCTATAAAATATAAGGAAAGTGAAAATATACTGCCAGAAAGTAATAAAAGAGTTTTGAAATAATTATCATTATGAAATTTACTGAATTAAACTGAAAACTGTTACTGTTTAATGAAAAATTGAAATATTTATGAAATTAATTAATGGATTTAATTAAAAGAAATTTTCAAATACATTTCAGCAAAATTTCGTTATTTTTTCAGAAAAATATTTCGATCAGAGTGTACTTTAAGAATACAAAGTATTATATGTAAAAAGTTAATAACATTTTGTATATTGTATATATTTTTATAATAAATAAATATGTCATATAACTTATTTATAAAACATGAAATATAAAGGTATTTTTAGTTTTTTGCATGTATTATTTGTAAGAAAATCTTGATAAAAGAAACAACAATAATTTTGTAATTTGCAATAATCTTTTCAATATATACTTTTTTTAAATACTTACAATTAGCCTTATTTTATGCGTTTACTTTGGTATCTAAAATACACATCAAAATATAAAATTTATTTTTATCACAGTAGAAAAGAAATATGTTATAATATATGTTATTATATATAATGTTCAATTTTAACAGTTTTTATTGGACTGTACTTTAGATAATATTATATTTTGTCATTTCTCTCTGTTATAAGACACAATGTTTCTTTCCAACTGTAACAGAAATTAATTTTCAATTTTAATATGTATTTTAAATACCAAGTTAAGCACACAAAATAAGGCTAATTTTAAGTATTTAAAAGAAGCATATATTGAAACAGATTATTGCAAGTCGCAAAATTAATGTTGTTTTTTTTATCAAGATTTTTTTACAAATGATAGACACAAGAAATTAAAAATATCTTTATATTTTATGCTTTAGAAATAAAAAATGTGGCATATATCATATACATTTCTTGTAAAAACAGTATACAAAATGGTGTTAATTTTTTATATAAATATTTTGATATGAATATAGATAATATGGAGTACATAATATACATAATATATATATAAAACACATGACGTGATAAAAGTATTTTACAATAAAGAATAAGACAAGCCAGAGGCGGTCTAACGTGTGCTGGCGATGTAGAATTAGAAAAGCCGGAGGCGTAATTGCATGAGGTTTAGACACATCCCCTTTTATGTAAATCGAGATGTCCATTCAAGCATATAAAAGGAAGCAAATCCTTGCAGGAGCAAGTCTTGCGCGCATTCGCGATCTGACAATATCTAGTTAAGACAACTGTCGCATGACTGTTTGCGAGACGTCTCGTCGTCATCATGGAAACTTGGATATTATTATCTATCTTAGCTGGCACCATCGCTATATACCACTGTTTCTTTAAGGGTTTAAACTTTTTCAAGAAACATGGAATTCTTCACATATCATCGTGGCCTGTTTTGGGTAACATGGGACCAGTTTTTCTCCGCCAATTGTCAATGGTCAAACTCAGAAACTTAGAACTTAGAAAAATCTATAATATAAATCAAGACGCCAAATATGTTGGTTTCTTCGAATCCAGCGCGAATCCAGTAGTGGTGATTTGCGATCTGGATATCATCAAGTCCATCAGCGTCAAAATTTTCGAGATGTTTCCCGATCATCGCAACTTTATAACTGAAGATAATGAACCTCTAATTGCCAAAACTCTTTTTTTACTTCGCAGTGAAAAATGGCAAAACGTGAGAACATTATTGAGTCCAGCTTTTACATCTAGTAAAATGAAAGTTATGTTCACTACTAGATTCGTGTTGTCGAAGAAACCAACATATTTGGCGTCTTGATTTATATTATAGATTTTTCTAACAAGCTCGACCATTGACAATTGGCGGAGAAAAACTGGTCCCATGTTACCCAAAACAGGCCACGGTGGTATGTGAAGAATTCCATGTTTCTTGAAAAAGTTTAAACCCTTAAAGAAACAGCGGTATATAGCGATGGTGCCAGCTAAGATAGATAATAATATCCAAGTTTCCATGATGACGACGAGACGTCTCGCAAACAGTTATGCGACAGTTGTCTTAACTAGATATTGTCAGATCGCGAATGCGCGCAAGACTTGCTCCTGCAAGGATTTGCTTCCTTTTATATGCTTGAATGGACATCTCGATTTACATAAAAGGGGATGTGTCTAAACCTCACGC